ACAGCCTTATCAAATCTGTTACATAGAATAAGTTTAACCTTGCAAAACATGCATTAGACTTGCTTTGTGCTTCTCAATGGCTAGGTTATGAGGTTATGTAAGCTTCAACTGACAAACAACAGGAGGATCTCTGGCTACATAAAGGCCACGCACTGATAACGTGTCCTTAAGGATATTCCTGTCATGCCAACATGTGCAGGAGGTCATTAAAGGAAATGGAAAGTACAGAGAGTACTGGTGAATGGCGAATGCATCCCATAAAGCTCTGTGTTGTGAAGAGCAATACAAATCCCAAATCACCTGCTTTATGCCGATTTCCTCACTGTTCCCTGCCCCTTCTCACGTACTCCGTTCTTTTGTTCTCCTATTCCTTATTTATTTGCTACTTCCCCACTCTTCCTCACACCTGGAGAAGGCTCCACAGTCGAAACGTTGAGCGGCTTTTCTTTACCTTTCAGCATGGGATTAATCTTTGCCTGTTCCTTTGCACCCTATGCGTGTTGATGTAGCTCCCTGCTCAATCGTCTTCAAATAAACCTGAACTATGAAAGTCTGTTCATGACAGATACAGTATGCTCTACTGCACGTACAGTACCTGTAAGAATAACATTTCATGCCCATGTTTCATTTTCACGTTTTAAAGTGTTGGGGTAAAAGAAAGACAGACCAGAGGCCAGGCGGTGTTCCTACTGTACATTTACCTAGCTTGGTAAAAGGTCGGAAGTCCTGAAACCATTAAACTGGTACAAGCAGTCACGGGCTATGTTCCACATGTGCAGAGGCAGAAGGCACGTTCAGTGACACCAAGGAAAATCCGTCGAGCTAGACCCTATTCACACCCACTTTGAAGCCAAGCTGTGACAATGGCATCCGATGTGGGTGGTGAAGCGGAAGAACCTTGAACACCTTCCCATGGCATTGGGGTACCCAGAAGTAGCAATCGCTAAAAAACAGAAATATCCAATCCGGACAAAATGCATCTGAAACCAGCCATTAAGATTTCACAGAAAACGGGATAATACAAATGCGTTTTTTACAAGATTATAAAACACATATTTAATTTAGTTTTTGAAATACTATGTTGCCTTTTTTTTTACTGATGGGTCTTTTACGTGCATCTTCACAAAACATTTTATGAGCTTATACTGTATGACACTCGAGTAATATTAATACTCCTCACGATAATTATTACATTTTGACGTTTTTTACAGTCGTTTTCCGAAATGACGACAAAATATGCGTACAAAACGCACACAGTGAGTAGCCTGATTTATTTAAAATTCCCGGATAACGTTCCAATACTCCGACATCTTAACATTTAAACCGGAGCTAAATGCCAATAAACGCCGAGGAAACACTGCATCACTCCATAGAGTGTGTTTACAGGGATCTCAGATTTCCTGTTGAAGAGTTTTGGATTTCCTGAGTTCCTGTGCTGTTAGCTCCCAGATCCTGTCCATTGTAACTGGCCATGTAACCATGCTCACATGGTAGATTTTCCTTCCTGCCCCTGCGTGGCTGCTGATCTATTCTCGGGACCCACATGAAGACAAATCGCTGCTCTTTATTCGAACCCTTTCTGCAGTAAATGGATACAATCTTTCCTGTCGCTGGATTAAGTTACATGTACAAAATGAACGAAATATGATGGCATTTGGAGATATTTTGTCTTCTTTGCAGGAACTACTGGCTTTCGATTTGCCGTACAAAGTAAGGGTTGTGATTGGAATTGCAGCAGTCTTGGTAAGTTAGTGATCAAATTAGGCGTGGCTGTTGTTACATTGTTCAAATATTTATTTTCCATACATCTAGATGCATTGTGGTCATCTCGTTTAGATGGGAACGTGCCCACCGAAAACTTTTTTGCTGAGGTACTAGAGCCTTTTTTAACGCCCTGTTTTTTTCTTGCCTTGTTCATTATCATATCGCCATGTGAACATTATTACCGTTATCTCTGCTACTGTCCCTCCCTTTGTGTGAAGGGCATTAAGACGTATTTGGCTAACAGTTATTCTGATCATGATAGTACATATGCTTAACAAATTATATTCTAAATATATTTTTTAATTAATAGAACTTTTTTTTAGGATTTAACTATTTCCAGACGATTATTAAAACTGTTGGGCAGTTTTCAGTGTTCGTTGTGCGTATATGAGAACAAAAAGCATATATTTAATGGTATCTCAAGTGACTTTCGTTTATTTTATTCAGGTAATTTTGTTAAGGTGACTGTAAAGTCATGCGGTCCTCATCATCCCGATTATCGAGTTTTTCATCAAAAGATTCTCTATGGAACCGGTAAGAGAGGATTAACATAATTTATTGCACACATTTTGCTTACATTCTGGTTAATGTCTTTTTTTGTGCTTATTTTTCTTTCGCCTTTTGCGAATTGAAACAACTTATACTCGAAAGCCCGGCATAACACATTTAAAATGCTAAAGGTGCACAGGCCGTGAGCTCAAGTTAATTAAATCAGAGTGCACGCTGTAACAGACCGTAACAGAGTATTTGTAAATTTGACTCAATATTTTTCAGCAATGGTATATTTTCAACAGATCGTTGGAACCGTGGCTTTAACACTTCAGCTGCTCAATTACAGTTGTTGCACATTCTCTGCTACAGATCGCCTGTAGGCTGCGCTAGTGCATCATTGCGCCCACCGAGTTTGACAGAGGGTCGGGGCACGATATCACAGAATGAAAAGTGTTACGTCGACAGAAGTAGACACACAGGGATACTTAGTAACTCGTGTTTAACTGTTCGCCTGCGCTGCTTTATCCGTAGAATTTGTTTGTCACCACCCTTGTCTGTTTGGAAAAAAAATGCTTAAATGTGAAGTTGAAAGGAAATTACACTTTGTAAGAGAAACAGTATGTTACGACACAACGTGATAATTCCCATATTAAATTGTTTTATTTTAATGCAACACTTAATGCTCACGGAATGCAATGCATTACCATAGTATAATACTGTAAATGTATAATCCCCCATGCGGGCCTCCAAAAATAGCAATAAATCAGTATTACTTGTAGGGATATATGGGGCACTGCGGTTTTTCTGCACAGCAGAGGGTTAGACCCTGGCGTGTTTCTCAACGATGAGCCCGAACGAAAGCGAAGGCGGGTGGGTTTTAGTAGTCGGAGGTAAAGCACCTTCTGGGCTAGTACGGTTAGAAATATAACGTCATAGCGGTAGCCTGTGCTTTTTGAAGGGGGCATGCTCCACCCTTATTGTCCTTTTTCAATTTATTTTTTTGTGCTGTAAACAACGCAGGGCCATCACTAAATTTGCATCGTAGTCTGCAATGGAGATTTCAACGACGAAGACGGGATTCAAAGCATTTTGAAAATGCGTGCAATTCTAAGGACCGGTTCTGGCCTGGACGGCTACAGATGTCTAGCTTTTCAGGGCGGCTGTATTGTTTGTGATATTTAGGCATGCGCAGAGTTCTTCCTTGTTTGTCCCTGAGGTTCGCGGTGGGTGGGTGAAAGGAAGAGAGAGAGAGAAAGAGTGCGTGTATGTATGTGTGTGTGAGTGAGTGAGTGTCAGAGAGCAGAGATCGTCAGGAAGAAAAAAAAATAGTGGGAAGAGAAAAGGGGGAAAAGAAAATCTCAAAACAGACCGTTACAGCTGCTGGATCTACCCAATAAGTGGAATTGCAGGCGCAAACACCTACATTTGCGGAAAACGTAATGAGGACATCTGTTATGCTCCGATTTACAGCTTGTGTTGGTGGAAGCAAAGAAAATAATTAAAACTGTTGTGGACAGTGTTGCAATAGAAGCAGAGGTTACGGAAAAGACTGGAGGGGAGAAGGGGGAAATTACTTGGAATCCCCTGTAACCAAGGGGACTGAAATCGGCTAATTGCATAATTTCAAACAAGGCATCTGTTCTTATTTTTGCAGCTTTTTTGTTTCTGATATTGTAGTAAAAAGACACACATTTCCTCTCCTTGGCAAGTTTGCTCTTTAATGATTTAGGTTTTCCGTTTTTTCCCCCCATATCCCCTTTTCGCGTTTCCTTGCTGAAGGATGCCGGATCAGATTTCGGTGTCCGAGTTTCTCTCGGAGACTACGGAGGATTATAATTCCCCGACCACGTCCAGCTTTACCACCCGCCTGCAGAGCTGCCGGAATACCGTCAACGTGCTGGAAGAGGTAGGGGAGAGAATCACATCGCTGGGCGGCGGGGCTTCCAAATAATACGATTCGTTAAAAATGAGTGGTGCAAGCTACACTGGCAGTCGCTATATACTTAACTGATGAAAGCGTGCCATTTTAAAACGGTACCTACAGAACAGTATTTTCATATACGTAAATTGCAATGCACGGTTGCGATCATTTCCCCCCAGAAAATGAATGCCAAACACCAGCACCATAGATCTGCTTGCTTTTTAATGCTCACAAACCGATGCATTTCAGTGCAACTGCTTGAGACCCTTGTTTATAAACAATTGTTACTAACAATTCAGGCACGTAACATTGTATTTAGACACAATTCATTTTGTATTAACTCATTCAACGGTGTGTGTCATTAAGGGAAAAGGTATAGAATCATTAAAAAAACACTGCTATAACATGTTTTATTTTTTTTTGTACTTTCAGAATATTAGACATGCAAATAACGGTGTGTCACACTAGCCATTTGATATTGTGACTTTCATCTATCTTGGAATGAACGTGGTTCTTGCCGATTTAAACCAAATAATAAGAATGGCGATTTCTGGGTAGCTATCCACTTAAGTCTTGGCGAGCGAGGAAGAGCCAATAATTCATTGCGTATATACAGTACACTGAATAAAAGCTTATGAATGTGACTGTGCTTGTTACAAATGACTTGCGTAGCCCGGGTAAATTAGGTGTATAACAAATCGGTAATATTACGCCAAGGTCAGTTTAAGGTTGGGCTCCTGAGTGATGGGAGTATTGTGTTATGAACTATTGTTGTTCTGAACTGAAAATGTTGCTAGTATTGTAACGGAGATTAATTTATTTGGAAAATAGTGATACAGATTTGTGTTGAAGTAGACGTCTGATGGGATCAAGACAGCAGATTGTGGTGCAGCGTTTTTAAAAACCTGAATAAAAAATGTTACATCATAACATTACAACATACCATACAAAAATAGTTTGGAAAGCTGACATTTAGAACGTTTAAATTTTTAAAGAGGTGCAAAAATGGCAAATCAGCTGCATTAATTGTAATTGTTCTTTTAATATTATTACTGTTTTACACCGAGCAATGGTTGTCGCCCATAGTTCTCTTCTAAGGTACCCATTTATGTTGGGTTTTTGTTCTGCCCTTTATGCTCTTTATAAACCCATTCTGGATATGTTGTGTAAGTAGTTCCTGAAAGGATACTCGGGCCTGGCCTGTTCAATCCAGCATTAATCAGCTGAAAGTTCACATGGACCATGAAATGTTACATCCCTTACAAGGGTGAGATTTTGAAGTGCTACAAGAATTGGCAGCTTTTTAAAATATTTCCTAGTCTTTTATTATTTATTATAGTCTTTTATTGTTGCCATTTTGGAACTTAGGGGTGAAGCTGGCTCAGCACAGGACAATAATTGTAGTGTCCCACTGATACTGATACAATGCCCGTGAAGATTGGTGTGTGAACGATACCATCTGTTGTAGGCCTAAAAAGCATCTTTGAGGGTGACAGTCTATGGATTCAGACCATTAACTGTCCAACTACTTGGTTAAAAAAAAAACTAACAAAGCCAAAAAAAAGAATTTGCAACTCAATAAAAAAACACAATGGGCCCCAAATAAAGAACCCTGAAGCCCTGAACAAAAAAAAAACCTCAAAAAACATAGTAATAATTAAGAACCATAAACATGGATGCCAGAAAAGACAACAGAGAGTATCTCTGGCAGAACATGACTGTTTCTTGATGGAATGCTCCATTTTTTATTTAGAGAACACAGCATAGAACTGTGGATGTGAGTTTATGCACCCTTTATCTGAAATAAGTTTCTTCACGTGCAAGTAAATGTGAATGGTGTCTTAGTTAAACTCGACCTTTCTGAGGGCATTTTGGGTTTATGTATCCTAACAAGCAAGGGGGTTAGGATGAAGAGGGTTCATAGAGAATCAGCCAGGGTTGTAGAGAATCAGCCAATTTAGGATACAGGGTGCGGAAGAGCAGTAGTTCTGTTTGCATCTGTATTCCCATAATGCTTCTCAATACACCAGTTGAAAAGCACATGCAGTGAGGTCTCTCATATGGGGAAAAAAAAGTTTGCACCCTCTTTGACCTTTAGGTTAAAAACAGATACCAGACATCATAAGGGGGACATTGAGTCAGTTCTCCAGCCCATTCCCAGAGCTTGTTCTTGTTGAGCTAATGCTGATGTCCTGCCAGACAGGACCACAAGGTGACGTGTTAACATCCTAGGTAATCCACCAAGGAATGTTTTTTTAAATGCATTTTCATCACCCTAGTCAAAAGTCTGTTTATACAAAAGATCCCAGTTCTGACCAAAATGAATAATTTATAGTTCAACCTTATCAGATACTAATATATAGTATGTACACTATATACTGTGTATGTAACAGTCTTGTTTATTAGATGTTCATTTTGAATCTGGCACAGAATTGAAATGCTTTCATATCAGGTACAGTAGTGGAATTTGTGTCTCATGATTGATTATTATTTTTATTCTCCCAGGCCCCTTTATATACAGTACCTGTGGTTTTTTGTCACTCCTAGTTTGAGGAACCACTATTTAAAATAATGGTTTGAAAGCTTCTCAAGAAGCTTGAATAACTACCTTTAATGTGCAGTATGTTCATGCCTTTGGTGCATTGATGTGTTCATGCATTGATGTGGTTTTGAAATGAACGATAATCTTGACTAGGAAGGGATATAGTTGTAGTTTCAGTGCAATTCCCTAGCAAAATATATCCACCAGTTTAAAGCTGAATGTCTCCTGCAGCATGCATTGGTATTCTGTGCGCTGTAAAACTGCAACTGAGCTTTGAAATTGTAAAGTTTTGGAGGCCTGGTGTGCATTTGTAGGTTTTCAGAGTTCATAGTGTTATTATTAAAGTCGCCTGCTGTTACACTGCCATATACAGTTGGTCAAAATGCCCACCTATGCCAGAATTTGGTGCAGTGGTTTTCCCTGATACCTGCTTCTGCACTGCTGTTCAGATTAAGAATATGGTGCTCTGCTACTGGCAGCTTTGTGACAAGTGATCAGATGCTTTTGTGGCACTTTCCTTTTGCAGGAGAACCTTGTTAGGTGTCTGGGGATTTTGGAAAGGTACAGTATAGTGTGTCAGGTTTTACTGTAAAAGGTGTCTTCAGTGTGCATATCAAATCCAAATGTTCCTGACAATTTATGGAAGAAACATTTAATCTGCAACCATACAGAAGTACACCTCAGTGTAGATGATGAAAGTGAAGTACACAGCCTATATGCAGCACTTGCTATTTTCATTCTCACCAAATAAGAGCTGTAATTCTCAGGAAGGCCTTGAAATACATTTTAGAAAACCCCCTAAGGAAATAAGAACATAAATAAGGTTGAGAATGAGAGGAGGCCATTTGTTCCTTCTTGTATATGCGGTTGCGATTGATCTGAAGATCTTGTCCAGCTGTCTTGAGGAAAGCTGAAGTGTTGCTGTTTCAGTAAGGTGGTTGGCTAGCTTGTTCCCAGTTTCAGTCTTTAATGTCCCCCCCGTAACTTTCACTGGACTCCTCTGGTTCGTGTTTGAACATTGATCATGAAGAAGTGCACTGTGTTGACTTTGTGAATGCTTTAAAGGATTTTAATTCACTGATTCATCCCTGTCACGGAGCTTTCATTTCCTTCAAGAAAAAATAGAAAAAGATAAATCCGATAAATCATTGCTTCTTTAAAATATTTTTTTTGGTAAACAAAACACCAGCTGCACAAGCTTGTAGTTCTCTTGTTTTTATGTGCTGTGATTGTGTTTCCTATAATCCACTTCAACCATGCCCAGTTCTTGATGTTTAGAAAAAAACAAAGAAATTATTATAATAATGAAAATAATTTGTGTTTAGTAAAATATTTCTCTTTAAAAATCACTGGATACTATATGTTTCCAATACCATAGGACATATTTTGTTCCTTGAAAGAGAGCATAGGAACATCTAATGAAAAAGCAATAGAAATAGCCAGGAGTCTAACATTTGAAGAGTGTTTTTACTGTAGCTTAGCTAGCTTGTTTGAACCTGTCTTACAAAGCCTGGAGCACCTCTCTTTCTTAGTGCACTGTGCATAGGAATTTCAATTGCACACACACAACACATTCTCCCAGTCTCCCACCTGGGTAGGCTGTTATGTGGTAATGGTTATTCCAAATGGATTTCAGGAAAACAAATTAATTCAGAAATTCTTGCAGGCAGTGTTTGTTAGTAGGGTTTCACTGCTCTGCCCATAGTAACCGAAGGCTCTGTGATTTGTCATTTTGGTGGGATTGATGGAACTATGAAGGTTTGGAGTAACTCAATCCCAAAACAAGAACATCGTTCTGCTTGCTGATGTGATTAAATAGGGACTGCAGTCCTGGGCTGTTGTTATTAGGCTCAATTAAAGTCACAGCACAATTTACTTCTCACTTTTTTAAATTATGGTTCTAAACAAATTGAGCAAGTGCACATTTTTAAGTCTGTAATTAAGTATTAGAATACTGAAAAAGTAAACAATGCTTGATTTTAGCTTACGGAAACATCCTTCAACAGTGTTAATTAATGAGCTTGTAATTTCTCCTGGGCACAAATTCCTCTCTTTGGTTTAGTGTCACTCATCCAGGTGCGGCAATCTGCATACCTGTATATGTATATGCTCAGAGAGGCAATAAAAGTGCACTCGGTTCTAATACTCAATTTTAATATCTCTCAGTGTTTGTTTACATATGTCACAGATGTTTACTGGTATTGTCTGCCATAAGTTTCACAGGGTGGGTTGGACGGGGGTGTGAGTGATTTCCTGAGTAGTTTCTCACAGGATTTGAGTTCAGTTCACTTTCGATGACCACTTACAGTACCACCTCTTTTACTATTACTGTGGATGAGGCTGGTGGTGTTGGCCTGCTGCTGGCTTTTCCATGCTGTAGCTCATAATGGACTGTCTCACCGGCTGCAACCGCAGGGTCAGCAGTGGCATGAGCCCTCCAGCA